ATTGATTTGTTCAATGCACTTACTCAGTGTTTGAATTGGAGCATAGTCTCCTGGTGAAATTGTTACGTAAATTTGTGTGTCATCTGCATAGCTATGGTAACTTATTTTGTTGTTCTTCATTATCTGAGCCAGTGGTAGTATGTAGACGTTAAAGAGAAGAGGCCCCAAGATGGAGCCTTGAGGAACCCCACATGTCATATTTGTCAACTCAGATGTGTATGTACCGATAGAAACAACGTTGTTTCTGTCCTTTAAGTAGGATTCAAACAAATTTAGAACTGTTTCCGAAAGTCCCACCCAGTTTTCCAGTCGGTCTAGTAATATGCTGTGGTCAACAGTGTCAAACGCAGCACTGAGATCTAATAATACTAACACTGAAGTTCTGCCACTGTCTGTGTTTAAGTGGATGTCATTAAAGACCTTTACAAGAGCAGTCTCAGTGCTGTGGTTTGGACGAAAGCCTGACTGGAACACATCCAAACAGTTATTTAAATGCAAGAAATTACTCAACTGTTGAAAAACAACTTTTTCAATGATTTTACCTAGAAATGGCAGGTTTGATATGGGCCTGTAATTGTTCATTACTGAAGCATCTACATTATTCTTTTTTAAGAGCGGTTTAATGACTGCAGTTTTCAGGGCCTGTGGAAAAATACCTGAGTGAAGAGATTTGTTTACTATATGAAGTAGATCTGAGGCCATGCAAGGCAAAACATCTTTGAAAAATCCTGTTGGAATAATATCAAGGCAGCAAGAGGAGGATTTCAGAAGTTGAATAATGTCCTCTAGGTTTTTATCATTAATCTGATGGAATTGTGTCATGATGTCTGAATTGATGTTAAGTGGAGATAGGGACAACACATTTGCTGTTCCTGATGCAGAGGCACTGACTGCTTGTCTGATGTTCTGAATGTTGTCAGTGAAAAAGGAGGCAAAATCATTGCACGCCCTGGTGGATAGAAATTCAGAGGCAACTGACACTGGGGGGTTAGTTAGTCTGTCGACGGTAGCAAACAAGGCACGTGCGTTGTTTTTGTTTTTGGTAATGATGTCAGAGAAGAACGATTGTCGTGCGTTTTTCAATTCCAAATTATAAAGGCCAAGTCTCTCTTTATAGATTTCAAAGTGAACCTGGAGATTTGTTTTTCGCCACCTGCGTTCAGCTTTTCGACATTCTCTTTTCTCTGCTCTCACGGTCATGGCCTTTCTCCATGGAGATATTTTCTTGCCAGTCACTTCCTTTACCTTAGTTGGAGCAATGGCATCTATAACATTTTTAATTTTTGAATTAAAATGATCTACTAGCTCATTTACTGAGATGTTGGCAGGGGCAAGTGTGGAAGAGAAATTCTGAGTAAACATTTCCCTAGTATTTTCAGTTAAATATCGCTTTGTGGTTACCTCTTTTTGAACATTTGTGTGAACAGAAATAGAGCTCTCAAAGAAAACACAGGAATGGTCAGAGAGTGCAACATCAGTCACCACAACCTTAGAGATATTCACACCCTTTGAGATAATTAAGTCCAGAGTGTGCCCCTTATTGTGCGTGAGCTCCGTCACATGCTGAGTCAGTCCATAGCTATCAAGAACACAAAACAGTTCTTTAGCCCCTCTGTCCTGGGGGTTGTCAACATGGATGTTAAAATCACCAACAATGACTAGACGGTCAAAGTCAATACACACTATAGACAGCAGTTCAGTAATCAAAAAGTCATCAAAAAAGCTTGCACAGTATTTGGGTGGTCTATAGATATTTAGGAACAGAGCTCGAGAGGAGCATTTCAGCCGAAGGGCCACATATTCAAAAGAATCAAAGTTTCCATACGATGTCTTCCTGCATTGAAGGGAATCATTGAACAGAATAGCAACTCCACCCTCTTTCTTATGCATTCTTTCCTGACTCATAAAACTAAAGTTGGGAGGGGTTGATTCGATAAGAACAGCTGCACTGTTATTTTGTTCAATCCAAGTTTCTGTTAAAAACATAAAATCGAGATTGTGCTCAGTGATAAAATCATTGATTAAAAATGTTTTTCCTGCCAAAGACCTGACGTTTAATAAAGCTAGTTTAAGTTTGTTAAACACACTATCAGTCATGTTTTTGTTTGCTACTGGCAGGCAGGGCCCCGACATGTCCTGGAAAGAGTTGAGAGTGCCATACGCCCTTGAGCCTGGACCCATCACATATCAGTAAGAGTTTGTTGTGTTTTGTACACACACATCCTTATCAGGCTTCGGAGACTGCAGAAGCCCCCTCGAAGGGAGGGGAGGTGGTCGACGTAGGCACGGTGATGGAGACGGGCGAGATGGTGCGGGGGTAGAGGACATGCTGCCAGGGGGGGGAGGTGGTTGACGTAGGCGCGGTGATGAGGACGGGGGAGATGGTGCGCGTCTCCGCGGTGATTTTGGTGGGTGTCGTTGAGGAGCGGGGGTAAAGGACATGGTGCCAGCCCTGCGTATCGCCTTCGTTTGGTCTTTGAACTCCAGGAAGGAATCTGTGCCAACCCTCTGTATCTCCTTTGTGTGTTCATCGATCTCCAGGAGGGTGGGCGAGGGTGAAAGGGTGAACAGAGTATCCTCAAAGGCGTTGACAGGGGGGGGGGGGGGGGGGGTGCGGGGCAGTGGAGACTCCTCCATTTGTCTCATAGGTCTCCCATAATCAGAACATTCCTCAGGCGGGTGCAGTGATAATTCTTCAGGGTTTTCTGCGTGATGTGTTGTGTCTTTCTCCTGTTTTGATTCCTCTTGCCGCTTGTCCTTGGCAGAGGGAACAGATTGATGACGCAGGCAGTTGAATATGTTAGAGATAAACAATTTCACTCCTGACTTGTTCAGGCAAACTCCATTTGCCTTGAAAAGATGTCTGCGATCCCAGAAAAAGTTAAAATTGTCAATAAAATGAACAGAATGGTCAGTACAGGGCGTTGAAAGCCAGGTGTTCAGTGCAAACAATCTGCTGAATCTCTCCACTCCTCTTCTGACTGGCGGTAGAGGGCCACTGATGAACACCTCTGCATTTAGAGAGCTGGCAGTTTCCAACAAACATTTAAAGTCTTCTTTCAGCACTTCTGACTGTTGTTTCACAACATCATTTGTTCCAATGTGCAGTACCACATTCTTCACAGTCGGATGTTCTGCCCCAATATGCAGGATCTTCTCAGCCAAGTCAGAGACCACATCCTTGGGAAAACAGAGTACTTTGGTGTTGTTCTTATTACACAGACCTTTTACATCTCTTACAGCAGAGTCACCCACAATCAGAGTTTCAGGCCCAGTCGTTAGCTTTCCCTCTAGCCTTTTACTTTTAGAGTAGCTATTGGTCCTTACCCTGCTGCGTGAAGAGGACAGGTTATCCAGGTCATCAGATCTCCGGTTCTCGGTCAGCGGAGCGTATCTGTTCTGGATTGGCACACTTGGTGGTTTAGGAGGATTGTTTGTAATTCTCCCTTTAGCAGCTGTCCACTGCTGTTTCCTAGTATGAATAGGGGTTGAAGAGGCGCTCTTCCTGGGTGATAACAATGCAGGCCAGCCGGTCGCATCACAGATTTCGGAGCTCTGGGCTCTGCCTGTTATCCGTCCTCCCAAATCCCATGGAAATGATTTACTCTTAGGCTTTGCACCCAGAGAGTTCCAGGGAGGACTACCACTTGTAGATTTATTACCCGGTACACAGCCCTCCTGTTCCTTGGAATCCTTGTAGCTGCTAACTAGCTGTGAGTTAGCATACCCTTCTCCATTTTTTTGCAACACTGGTAAAGTCGTGTCATTCCCACGACATAGTCCATTCACTTCCACGTTAACTTCCAACCGTTGCATTTTCATTTCCAACACAGCCATCTTCTGTATAAGTTTCTGGAAGTCATCTGTAGAGAACGGAGGCATTTTGCTACCAACTAGCTTAAGCTAAATAGCAGTAGCCTACCAGGCTTTAGCTGTTGCTAGGCCACGCTATTGTAAGACTGACGTCGTCGTAAAAATGTTGAAATATGGCTGAAACCCTCCGTCTATTTACGAAGATGAACTGTCCCAGTGATAAGTTAATGTCCAGGAGCCGCTGCTCGAAGTTTTCAGAGAATAAGAATAGGAAAATCAGCATAAAAAGTAAGCAGAGGCAAGAGCAAGCAGAAAAGCGTCTGCACTGTAAGAAAGATAAGCAAGCCGTAGACAGACTCCGCCGTAGACAGACTCCGCCGTAGACAGACTCCGCGAGGCTGACACTCCCGCGAGCAAGCAAGAGGGCTGTCTCTCTTGCGAGCGAGCGCAGAGCCGCTCGCGGGGGTTTAATCTGCGCGCGAGGGTCATTTTATGGGCGTGTAAAAGCACATTTTCCGCTCGTGAGTAGCTTGTTTTACGCGCGAGAATATTGACCCAAATCTGACTCCATATTCTTACACCTTTTCCAAAGTCAAATTCAAGCACTTTTCAAGCATTTTCAAGGTGCATTTTCAAGCTTTTCAAGTATCTTACAGCTGTTGTAAATTACATATTTATATGCACATACTCAAATGATTATTTCCCTGCCTCACATTAACTCAGATGTTCTTTATGCTATAAACAACCAAATGTGTGTTTCGTGATAGCATTCTACACGAGGATGAAAAATGAAAGAAAAGAAAACTAAGTTTAGTATTTCAAAATGAGTGATCTGTACGTCTAAAAACCGAATTCAGGCGACCTTTCACCTCCACTTAATTAAATGCACTGGTTGCAAGATAAACATGTGAGTTAATTGATTTAGATAAACATTTTAAGTTGCAAACATTAATTTATAAGTTGTGCTGACGTAATAATGTTCAACTTAATATTGTGTGTCATTTGAACTCTGATTTCTGCGTTAATTGACTTCAAACTAAATTCAAGTTGAAGTAAGTAATGCAATTGGCTTGAGCAACAACGTGGACACACTAAGGACATACACAAGTAGATTGGAGCCAACTTTCCGTGAAACATAATAAAGAGGCCTCGAGAAATTCATGACAGTACCTTGTGTATGTCCTGAGTGTGTCCACGTTGTTGCTCAATGAGCGCAGGTTTGTGAGAATGATGGATGGAAGTGGTGGCCGGCTGAATCTCCGCCGTATTCTGAACGCCTCCCCTCCTTCCTCGTCTCTTTTTCCTGGTGTTTCTAAGCGGCTCCCGAGGGATTTCATCCAATAACGAAGAGCACAGATGGCTTGGTGTATTCGTAGGAGGCCGATCGCATTGTAGCTCTAGCATTGCCTCGTGTCTGTAGAGGCCAGGGCTCCTCGCCATACCCGTTCGTGCTGTCACTCAGGTGGGTCTTGGAAAGTTGAATGGCCAGACATGGTCTGCAGAAGGCAAATGTAATCCACAGGATCAAAAGCATGGTCTCTCAAAAATGACGAGCATACTGAGACTCGCAGTGACAGGATGCCGTCTACCTCTGTCTCCTGTATACCAGAGGTGGGAGTAAGTCATACATGTGCAAGTCTCAAGTTACTGGGGTGAGAGTCAAGCAAGTCAAGTCCTACGAAATCCTGATGAATAACCCCAGTTTAAATCAGTTAAAAGACAGTGGTTATGAAACTAGAGTTTTATTTTCAACATTAACAACAATGGAGAGTGGGGCTCTGAAATCATAAAACAGGTAATAGGGGGTGTGTGTGTGTGTGTGTGTGGCAGCCTGCGGTCGCTCGTTAGCTGTTCTAATGAAGGTAAACACAGTGAAGGCACAGCTCTTTGCAGCTGGTGCTGCTCTTCTCAGATTCTGCTGAGTTACACGTTACTGCCTCCTGGTGCTGCAGAGATTTCATGAAGTGAAGGAGGTTGTCTTCTATAAAGCAGCTGTGGGCAGCAGATACTGTGAGTCACAGACATGAATACATAGGTCAAGGCTGATTGGTTCACAGACTCTCCTGTTTTGCCGATCCGGTGCTTGAACAAATAACTCTACACCCCTGGCCGAAATGTCCCTAAAATGAAGTCCGAGTTTGAAATCTATCTCAAATAATGTATGTATTTCCCCACATAAACATAACAGTCTGCAATGAAACGGCTGTCTCCTGTGCGCTCCACTTCCTACTTTCTCCTGCGAACGAGAAGAGACTTTCTCTCTCTTTTTTTTCTTTCATTGCCCTCTAGGTGCTTCGTACAATACAAATGCAAATATTCTATTTTAAAAAGTAAAGTCCTTTCGAGTCATCTGTCTCAAGCCTAAGTCTCAAGTCATGAATACCAAGTCAAAGTCAAGTCGAGTCTTTTATCAATGTTGGTCAAGCAAGTCTCAAGTCAAAAAATAGACAAGTCATGTGACTCGAGTCAAGTCATGTGACTCGAGTCCCCCACCTCTGGTATATACTTTGGTTAGAATATGGCTGTATTACTGTATCAAATATAATAAAGACAAACAGTTGATAAGTAGTATTTTGTTAACTCAAGGTTTATATTAAGTGAGTTTTTATTGTGGTAACTTGTGTATTTATGCTTTTTAGATTGACTTTCTCTCTTTCTCTGTCCGTCTGTTCTAGAAACCGAAAGGAAGAGAGAGACGTCACAGCTGTCAGCAATGTGACAAATCCTTCACAACATCTGGAACTTTAAAGCGCCACCTGCGTATTCACACAGGACAAAAACCGTACAGCTGTGAAGAGTGTGGGACAACTTTCACTCAATCAGGTCATCTCAAAACACATCAACGTATTCATACTGGAGAAAAACCTTACAGCTGTGAAGAGTGTGGGACAACTTTCACTAGATCAGGTGATCTAAAAATACATCAACGTATTCACACTGGAGAAAAACCTTACAGCTGTGAAGAGTGTGGGACAACTTTCACTCAATCAAGTGCTCTCAAATCACATCAACGTATTCATACTGGAGAAAAACCTTACAGCTGTGAAGAGTGTGGGACAACTTTCACTACATCAGGTTCTCTAGAATCACATCACCGTATTCACACTGGAGAAAAACCTTACTGGTGTGAAGAGTGTGGGAAAACGTTCACTACATCAAGTGCTCTCAAAAGACATCTTCGTGTTCACTCAGGAGAAAAACCATAGTGGTTCTAAGAGTGTAGGAGCCGCAATTAAGCATATTTTGTTTTTTTCACAGTTTACAATAAACAATTCCCATCTATTGGCCTTGTGTTGGGTAATCCCTTTTTCCATTACAGATCCCATCCCAACAGCGCCATCTGTTGACGTAACGTCAGAATTGACAGGCATAATGTTCACTGTTCCTTTAAAGTGGACCTATCATGCTATATTTGAATAATATAGTGTAGGACGAAACCTATATAAGGCATATTTATACTTTTTATTTTTAAAAATACCAAACAGATCATGCATTTTAGCCATTCCTCATTTCGCTCAATTTAACACTGTCTTTGCATGGGCTGATTCTGTGAGAACAGCGCCATCTGTTGACGTAACGTCAGAATTGACAGGCCTAATGTTCACTGTTTCGTTTTCTGTCCGTCTGCCGATAGCGCGCTGTTTCATTGCTTTACATACCAAGGTTTAAGTACACTGTGTCAATAGTTGTAGTATGAGCATCGTCTGGGCTGGCCGTCTGGTAGAATCGGTATGCTCTTCCTCCTGTGTCCACTTCCTCTCCTGTCACCTATGACCCCTTTTAAACACCCCACCACCAAGTGTTCAAAATAACATTCAGGGTGTCCGCGGGGTCTTAAAAAGTATTCAAAGTTGATAATCAATTTAGCGAAAATTAAGGCTATTAAAAAGTATTAGACGGCATTTTCCAAGGTATTAAGAAGGTCCACAGCAACGACAACAAGAAACACCCTTTAATTTACTGAAACAACATGTCGGGAAACCCCCTCAAGGTGGCCCCATGCATAGCGTGCCATAAAATGCTGCTTCTTATTTTAAGTTTCGTTGCCTTGCTCCGCTCGGTGGGGGGGGGTATACCCAGGGGCGGATCTACCGGGGTGGCATGGGGTGGCAGCTGCCACCCTAAAACACATCCTTGCCACCCCAGCTGCCACCCCAGTTGGCAGCTTTGTTTTGAAATAAAAGTTGTGGCTCATCGGACATTTATGAGAAAAAATCTCTAATGTCCGAGTGCAAGTGTATGCACCACAAGACGCAAGCCAGTTACCCCCTCCCTGGCGCGAGCTGAAATGTGATTGGCGGCGATTTCATTTTGAACGGGACAGAACAAATAGAGAAGCATTCGGTGAAGTAGACGGAAGGAATGAGGTAAGACTGATCAACTACGTCTCCTGTGAAATAAGTGTAGAACAAAGCTAATGTTTTCCAGTTACAGAAAAGAGAGAAGTTAGATATGTCCATGTGAATCATAACGTTAATGCTGATATTGAAACGATACAAATCCGGTTGAGTAACGTTATTATCAGTAACTCTTTACTTACCGTAATAATAATAATAAATGATATTTATATAGCGCCTTTCAAGGGACCCAAGGTCGCTATACAGTGTGCGTGGAACGTTAGCTAGGTTTTTGTTTAAAAAAATGTCATGCATGAAATATTTTATATTATCAATCATTTAGCAAGATGTACGACCTGATCAAGGCTAAACGATTCTGCTCTTCAATAATAACTTTGAATCTTATTTCAGGAATCTGTTTGGATTGCAAGCAAAGATTTGGCCACAAGCTGGAGTTTGAAGCACACAGTAAGTGGGAAAACAACAAGCATTTGCTCAAACAGCATTTTCATTTGAACACCATTATTAATAATGATTACTGGTAATATAAAAGAAAACAACGTAATAAATGGACTTTGAATCTTATAGAAATGAAGAGGAAATGTGGCATTGCAATTTTTTTCTCACCAAAGAGGATAGAAAGTGAGGCTGAGCAACAGGGAAGTGACAAGATAAATGACCAGGGACATGAGGAGGTGGAAGGAGATGAAGAACAGCAACAGGAAAGTGTCAGTGATGAGATAGAAGGCAAAGATGAACAGGGACAGGAGGAGGAAGGAGAACACAACAGAGAAGAAGAGACGGAAGAGGGAGAGCATCACATAGACAAGGTGCAAGAGGGAGAGAGCGAGAGACAACAAGACGGCATGCAGAGCTCAGACAGTGAGGGGGAAAGGAATATTCCTAAGCCCTTGCAACCAACGGCCAGTCGAGTTGGTCCACATGGTATGAAAATTGTTAATACAAAGTATAATGCATCTGAATAAGATGCAAAAATCACACAAAAGGACATTTTGCAAAACAGTTTATTTAAGAGACAGGGCTAGCCTCAGTCTAATAAATATATTATTAATTCAAAAAAATTATGTTTGCTTTCCTTAGATAGTTTTGAGTATGAGGAAAAGGGTAGATTGTGAGTATTTTGTGTACAATGTATTTTAGACCTATTATAGCAGCTGAGGTTGAAATTCAAAAATTACCCAAAACAATACACACACCCAGGCCAAAATGTTGTGCTGCACGCATTAACACAGCCAGTAGGTTAAACACATATTGAATAAATGACAGCTCCAAACTGTGTTATAATTAGTTAATTATAATGTGTAATCAGTTAAGCTCTATTACAGTTTGAATATGTTTTACTCCCATTTTCTAGACATATCCAAGTCCAGGTGTGAGGAGCCAGCTCAGCCGACACGGGAGAGTTTCCCCAAGACCCTTCAGGGAGGAGCCAGAAGAAGCTTCAGAACGGACTGGTACAAAACTCATTCATGGCTTGAGTACTCACAGTCCAATGATTCAGCGTATTGTTTCCCCTGTAGACATTTCTCTTTACCTGATGCCCCCAAGACCGTTTTCACCTCAATTGACGGGTATCGTAACTGGAAAAAGGCCACAATGAAAGACAGTGGTTTCTGTTCTCATGCCCGATCTGAAAGCCATGTAAATGCAATATTTGCACGGGGAGAAAACAAGAAAATTAGTGACAGAAATACCTCAATGATGGGAATAATGGATGAGTAAAATAAGAAACAGGTGATTGAAAATCAAAACTACATTAAAACACTAGCTGAGATTCTGATTCTAACTGCCACAGAAAACACAGCCCAGCGGGGTCACAGGGAGAATCCTGACTCAAAAAAAAAAGGTGTTTTTTTAGCTATGTTAGATTTGCTGGGAAACCATGATCCTATGACTAAAAAAAGACTTGAAAAGCAAGCTAAAAATGCAACATACACCAGTAAAACTATTCAAAACGAGATACTGGAATGTTTGGCTGCAATGGTTAAGGAAGAAATAATTCAAGAGGTTAAAAAGAGCAGGCGGGTGATTCTCACGAAACCACCTTTGGTCATGTCTGTGAGGAATTGACAGACAAAATTACAAAAATAATCAAAATAATCAATTCTATATCAAACTGCATTGTGTATTGTATGTGGTACTATTGCTATTTTTGTAGTTGAGGTAGTAATTCATATTTTTTTCACCATTTTTCCATGTAGAAATTCATTACCGTAATGCGTCCGGAGTTTATTTTTTTACATTTAACCCCAAAATATCACAATAAATCTGCACAATTTAATACATACATAAATACAAAAAATTGTTGAAATGGTACATTCTTACTGGTAATATAATTATTTTGGGTCTAAGATTTATGAATTAAAATATTTTTGGATTAATATGTGTGTCCGGAGCATGTGAAGTTCATTACCGATACACTGCCTATTTGGCCCCATTACAATTCCTGTTTGTTTAAATTAGTTTTTTTTTTTACCCATGATGCATTGCATGGAAGAGAAGATGCAAGATAGCTACAAGGTAAGATGTCCTTTCAAGGTCAAGCTATAGATATGTTAAAGATTCAATTTACTGACACCCCAGTGTACACTACTAACTGTCATTACCGTAATGGGGTATTATATAATGTTTTTTTTTAAAGTTATTGATTCCAAAATCAATAGAAAAGTTGCTTTTATAGAGCCAGAATGATAGTGCAAATATTTCTTTTGTAGCATCATGGCTATGCTAACTATTATGCTAGCTAGTGTTATGGTCATTCATTACCGTAATGCTCTGCATTCATTACCATGTCATATAGGAGGCTGTTACGGTAATGAACAAAATTGTTGCGGTAATGAAAGAAATGTGTGCAGCTATGTATGGTGAGCTTTAACTATAAAGAAATAATTTATATATATTATTTGAATCTAATTTATTTAATGAATACTGAATCCCTCTTGAAATTAAGTTCAGAAAAGGTGGAAAGGAAAAGGGCAGCTTCCAAGGTGAGGGTGGTGAAGCACAGAGAGAAAGTGTACAGCAACCCAGATACATAAGGAAGGAAAGAGAGAGGTTAGAACAGGACATCTTCACATTGTGTGTGAGAGAGAGAGTGAGTGAGAAAGAGGGAGAGACAGAGAAAGAGAGAGACTGAGCCAGTGTTTCCACCAGGGGGCCGTCTTGCCGTCATTGGATGCCCTTTTTCAGCTCGGAGCGCCCTCAACTCGAGCCGAGGCGGCCCAAAAAAGAGATTTATCCGAGAGAAGATCGACAATTTTTATCGTTTAAATCAGGGGTTCCCAAAGTGTGAGGCGCGCCTCCCCTGGGGGGCTCCAGAGAGCTTCAAGGGAGACGCAGCCGCCAGAAAAAAATAAAGAGAAACAGTGAAATCTAGCTAGTTAACTTCAGCTAACTTTATGCGAGCTGCAAAATATCTATCATCTAGCCTCCCACCCCATCCAGAGCCTACGCCATCTGACAATGTCACTTCTACACCCGTAAGCCACAAAGAGAAACCGGTCAGCCACAACAAAAGGAAGTTTGTCGGAACCTGGAAAATGAAGTTCCCGTGGTTGTGCTATAATAAACAAAGTCATAAAATGTATTGCACACTATGTGTAAGGGAAAAAAAGCACAACGTGTTCACCTCGGGGACGTCCAACTTCAGGGTGAAGACTATAGAGATGCACATAAAGGGGGTGGATCACAAAGCAGTGCTAGATGCACAGCATTTACGGAGAAACAACATTCAAGTTGCCGTTAATCGAATGGTCTGTGCCAGATCAAAGGCGGTAATTGCGGCCAAGAGGAACGTGTATTACCTGGCAAAAGAACTGTTGCTGACTCACAAAAACAAAAGCTTGAATGAACTGTGCATTCTGCAGGGATGTGAAACCTTGGCAGAACTGCGCGTTTCAGAGAACGCCCTCACAACGACATAGTGCAGGACATGCAGTGCGCCGTAATGTGCTGAAGGAGGATTTCATTGCAAAGTTAAATAACTCAACATTCAAGGGGCTCATGACTGACGAGTCCACGGACATTTCGGTGGAAAAGCTTATTTGCACATATGTTAACCTAATAAATGACGGTGACTTAGAAACCCACTACTTGTGCAACACAAAGATACTGCATGCGACGCTGCTACCGTAACGCAAACCATTAAGGAGCAGTTGCAAAATTACAACATCGACCTGAACGACATAACTGGCGTCCGTACAGATGGGGCAGCGGTTATGACTGGAAGAGAAAATGGGTTCGGGGCGCGTTTTAAAAAGGGAAAACCCAGCCATCGGTGGCACACACTGCGCTGCACATAAGCTAAACTTCCGTGCCCAGCAGGCTGCTGTGGCGATTCCATCCCTCCAGCGCTACCAGAGGACGGTGGGCAGGATCTATGGATACTTCTCCAACAGCAGCTCTCGGCAAGCACGGCTTAAAGAAATGCATGTCATCCTGGACACTGATGACGTTCAGCCTGCTGTAACCTCAACGATCAATGCGCTGTTGAGTCATGCAGATTGGAGATGACGGCGGCCTAAAATTCCAAGAATTCTTGGCCAACATTGTGGAGAAAAACGGCGAGATGTATTTTAAGGGAGAAAAGATAAAGGCCACCAGGGCGATGCGGCAGGCCGTGGATGGTGTAAGGCAGCGCTTCCTCGACACCCTCATCCAGAATATTGAAGATCGTTTCCACGACATCGGCCTCTTTTCCGCTTTTCGCATATTTGACCCATGGTGTCTGCCACGGGACAACACTGAACGTGCGCGATTTGGACGCGATGAGATGTAGACCATCCTGGATCACTTGTGCCCAGCGGGACGGGAACCTATCGTTGACACGGACACCTGCAGCGCAGAGTGGTCACCTTTTAAGGAGCTGGTCCATGCAAACTACAGCAACAATTCCTTCCAGGAGTTGGTGAAGATCATGGCTACACAACATGCTGGCTTCCTACCTGAAACCACAAAGCTCCTGGCTGCAATCTCGGTCATTCCAATGAGCACGGTGCGGTGCGGACGTGGATTCAGCATTCAAAATCGCATAAAGACCAAGGGCAGGGCAAGAATAAAAGCAGAAAATCTCGACTGAATCTGCATTGAAGGACCACCCATTGAACAGTTTGACTTCTACAGAGCCCTGGAAAAGTTTAGAGTGGAAAAACACTGCCGCATTTTCCAAGGACCATGCAAGGAGCGATGTCCCTGCCGGCAGCGGTGATTGTATACAGGTACATTATGTATCATGTAACAAACGTTACGTTACTATTGTCTATTGTGTGTGTAAAGAGACAGTATATAAAAGTAACGGTGCAATTCAAAATTGTGTGTGTGTGAATATATACGTAAAGCGAAAGTATTTATAAAGCAATAGTATATCTCTTCTCCATGTAAGGTCATTACCATAACAAAAGCTTTTCATTACCGGCATGCTCTGTTCATTACCATAACACTTCCTTAATAAGTTAATATTTTGATAGGAATATGGAAAACCTTCAAATTTTCATTTTGTACAGGAAATGTTTGGTATGTCTGTTCATATTTTAAAAGTCTTTTTTCAATCAATTGTACAATTTACACCACAGTAAAAGTCAATGTGTGGAACATAAAATTGTGTTACGGTAATGAAGTTAATAACTAAAATTATTATATTATTATATATTTACCTGAATTATTACACTATGTGACTACTTGTGACTATTGACAGCAGCATACGTTAAAAAATAAAATGCCAAACATTTACTCAAATATTTAGTTATCATCAATTGAAAATGTGTTACGGTAATGAATTTATTTGGTCAATGACTCGTTAAAACTCTCTAAAAATGTGTTTTAAAACATATACAGAACTTTTCTTTTACTAGGGCTAGTTCATTTAGAACCTGGTTGATACTAATGAGAACAATTATTTTCAAAATCTGCATCGAACTGTTTTGGCTCATGTTACACCAAGTTCGTGAGAATCACCCAGCCTGCAGTTTGCAGTTATTGTAGTCGAAACTAAAGATCTTCAGAAAAAAGAGCAAATTTCATTTGTTCTGAGATACTATTACAATGGTGTTGTTCACGAGAGCTTTCTGGAGTTTGACGTGGTAGAAGGCCTGGATGCTGCTGCGTTAAGTGGTAAGATGATTTGTTTTCTTGAGAAACATGGGCTGGAGTATAAAGAAAACCTTGACGGTCAGGGCTACGATGGCGCTGCAGTGATGAGCGGGGCACATGCTGGTGTTCAAGCGAAAATAAAAGAAGTAGCCAAAAATGCTTTCTATGTGCATTGCAGTGCACACTGCCTAAACTTAGTCATAGTAGACTCTGTCAAAAGTGTAACAGATGCGGGAAACTTCTTCTCATTGATGGGAACGATTGTATGTGTTCATATCTGGGTCTTATGTACACAACAAATGGCTGGAAGTGCAGCGGGAGATGTTTGACGGTGCACCAAGGGAACTCCAAAGGCTTAGTGATACACGTTGGGCCTGCAGACATGTAGCATGTCGCAATGTTATGGATAGGTTACCTGCAATACTACAGCTGCTTGAAGAGATTTCCTCTGAGAACCATCCACATAGAGCTGTTGAAGCCAGGGGGATATTGGTTCAGATTGATCTGAATTTTGTTGGATGCCTTGTACTGTTCCGAAAGGTCTTGAGTGACTCTAAATTGTTGTCAGATATGCTCCAGTCCAAAACATTGGACTTGGCTAAGGCCGTGGAACTAGTTGAAGCACTAAAGAGACACTGGTACAATATCGCAGTGAAGCCTCCTTTGAATGAAGTGTGGGTGAGGTGAAGCACTTGTTTTATGTGAAAGAAGTAGCATTGAAACAACTCAGCGAAAGCCAAAGAGTTCAAGACAGACAACAAGGACCCTTCAAGATGGTGTCATCCCTTCCACTTTGGGGACAGCATGTAGTTCCAGATGGGCAAACACTCTTTTTGCGTCAATGTGTACTATCCAGTTATGGATAACATGATTGGAGAAATAGAAAGACGCTTTTCTCACACAAATTGCAACATAATGCAAGGTATCCAGGCACTAAATCC